GCAACCGCCGCGGCCTCTACTGGAACCCCATCACACCGTCGTGACGAAAGGGGCTTACTTCGCCTCCCTACGAGCCGTCGCCAAGCACTCCACCGGAGTCTATTGACTCCTAGTTCAACTGCCCCCTCTTCCTTCGGAACTCCACCATAAACTCGCCAGAGCTGCCATCCGCCGCTCCGCCTAGTCGCTGGCCGTTCGCCGATGAACGCCTTCCTGCTGCTGATGTCGGGAGAGACCTTGCTGCTGTGCCGATGAGCCAGATCCAGTCCAAGCTTTGCACAAGCCCTTGCTAGAGTTTCCGACGATCCGCCGCCGTCGCGCTGTTTCCGGTGCCGCCTAGACTAGGAGGGCTCAACCCTCCCTGGTATCGTCGGCCAAGATCGTCTCCTTCCTCTGCTCCGCTTCCCGGTGCCACCAGAGAAGGCCAATCCTTCCAACAACGGTTGGGCTTCTGCCTAACTGCCGACGCTCGGCATTCCCGCCAAAATGCCACCACCGTGCGCGCCCCACGCACTGGCTCCTACGGCCCGCACGACCTGGCACTGCCACCAGCGTGCCCTAAGGCACGCCGCACGGCTTGCCGCGTGCACCTGCTAGGGTGCCCTTCAGCCCACCAGCGGGCCCACGCCCACGCCGACCACGCCACACCTTACGACGACGACTACTGTGACTCTCGACCAGGACCGACCATCGATGCTGAGCATTGCTCTTCACCAGACGTCTCTACTTACGTCGAGTCTCCACTCCGTCATGACCCACCGGGCTATGCAACCCTGAAGGTTAGCTCTGTACCCCCTTCTTACTTAAGTTTAATTATCTTTTGAAAGGTTTTCTCGGCTCATTTCCACCGCCATCTAGAGAACGTAGACAGGATAGGACGGGTTATAGGATCGTGACTTCTCACGCTGCGTCAGACTCATCACCGTTCGTGATCTGCAGCCCTAGGCTACTTCACGACGACTGTTCCGCCATCTGTCCAGATATGGACCAAGAGGGTCTCACACTTACCATCGTCAAGTGTTTCCCTGAGTTGTCTTGGGTTGATAGTGCATATTGGTACGCCTACCTGTACTTAGGTTAGGTGGTCTGACCTAGAGTCTAGGGTCCATACATTCTGATGGCGAGCGGGACCCATCTCCATCAGCTCTGGAGACACCAGTAGTCCGAGTTCAGCCCGATCGACGTGCAATGATGAAGGAGCCTAGCTTTCGCTACACAGCCTAGCCCTTCGGGACGACGACATTCCACCTCCACAACAACGACGAGCTGGAGCTCACCCTTATCTTTCTTTGTATTTTCACGTTGACTTGTTGGGCCTCGCGTTTGTGTGTTAGCGAGCCCAATTCTATGTGTGTGTGTTGTTGTTTGTGTCTCCCTTTCTTTAGGATTTTATTAGGTCTCTCTTTTGAGGCCCAATTAAAACCCTAAGGGGGGGACCTATGTGTCTTTCCTTTTGGGCCTCTTTTGGGGCTTATTTGGGTCTTCATTTGAGGCCCACTTAAGCTTATTGGGTCTCTCTTTTAGAGGCCCAATAAGCCCCTTTTGTAGCCTTTTGTGGCTTATGGGCTTGAGGACCTCAAGTGGGCCCACCTCCCCTTAGCCCACTTGTGGGCCCTATATAATGGGAGGTAGGGACCCCCCTCAAGGAGTGCCAAATTTTGTGAGAGATTATCGTTTTGTGAGTACCTTCTTCGTGACCTAGGATAGGGATGGAAGGAGGGAGAGGAAGGCCGTCGATACCCCCTCTGAGGGCTTCGTTCGTCGTGACGCTGCTGCCTGAGAAGTCCTGCTGCTGCCTGAGACCACTGCCGCCGCTAGACATCTCATTGCCACCCCGGAGATCACCACCGTCACCAGACGAAACGGACGCAGTTGCCGCTGCGACCGCCGCCGCCTCTATTGGAACCCTGTCACGCCGTTGTGATGAAAGGGGCTTGCTTCGCCTCCTTACGAGCCGTCGCCGAGCACTCCACCAGAGTCTCTTGACTCCTGGTTCGACTGACACCTCTTCCTCTGGAACTCCACCATAAACTTGCCAGAGCCACCATCCGCCGCTCCGCCCAATTGCTGGCCGTTCACCGACGAACGCCTACCTGCCGCTGACATTAAGAGAGACCCCGCTGCTGTGCCGACAAGCTAGATCCAGCCCAAGCTCCTCACAGGCCCCGCCAGAGTTTCCCGACAATCCGCTGCCATCGCGTCGTGACGTGACTCAGTCATTGTATATTAAATCATGCAAATCTAAAATTTATAAAACTAGAAAATACGAATTTCCAGATATTTAGAAGTATTTCTGAATAAATATATCAATTATAATTCAATAAAACTTTCAAAAATAGCGGTAATTTTCCAGGTCGATCACAAGGATGTAATATAATGTCTGGTAATTATTCAGAATTTTTCTCAATGAATACGATTTTCTATGAATTTTATACTAGGAAATGAAAAGGGCATATATTTAAAATTCACGAAAAAAAAGGAAATAAGGGTGCGGACGTCAAGATGACATCAGCGCCCGGCGAACGCGAATCGGGCGGAAACAGAGTTCCACCCGACGATTCTTACGTAAGTGATTACAGACGATTTAATTAATCAAATTAAGATCTGTAAGAGCCGGAAGAATCGTAATTGAACGAAGTATATTTTGGTAAATTAAAATCACACAAAGTATCACTAAATGAAGCGTAAATTAAAGTGAAAGCAGGAAAACAGAGTTCCGGCGTCGCGATGGCGATGCGTCGGCGATGCACCGGAATTCTGAGCGTTCGGGAGGATCGTTCTGCAGTGTCCACGGCCTCGAAGGCTCTCCTTAGACAAAGACGACGTGGGCAATCTCTAGATCTTCTCGCGAAATCTAGAGATCACTGAAATGGGTCGTCGAGTCACCCGACGGAGAGGAGCTGGATGGAGGTGGGGCGCGTGTCAGGGAGCTTCATCCTTAGGTCCGCGCAGCAAGAGGAGGCTCTTCGTCGCATCTGGTACGCTCTCAGGAGGTGGCGACTCGTCTCCCGGCGGATCGTCCTCTTCCCGACGACGGCTTGTTCGTCGATCAATCGGAGATGATTTACTCGATGGATTCGCGATCCTTTTATCGCGAATCGTTCAGCAATTTTAGTAGCAATGCTCCGCGAATCGCGTTGACGAGATTTTCGCTAATGATCCAGCGATTCTCGTTGCTTAATCCTTCACCAGCGATCTACAGGAAAGTCGCGATAATTAGATAAAATTATATGAATTTTGACTCTGGGAGGATTCGAACCCACGCCGGTTGTCCGCCCCTTCTGAGGAAGGTGTGACGCGGGTTTAGTGCCACATCGGTTGCGCACCGATTTTTTGGGCGAATATATAGTAATGTTAGCTTTCTAAGCAAAGTTCCTTCTCTCGCGTGTACGACCACTCATTGCCCCACAGCCGGCTGGCCACTGGTGACGTGGAAGGGGAGTGGCGCACACGTGCCCCTATCGGTCCAAGCCACTCGAGCCCCTGCTCGCGGCTGCTCGCGGCTACTCCCCAACTGAGCTTCCGACCCGCTTGCGGGCCCAGCTAGCCGGCGGGCGGGTCCCCCCCTCATTTTGTCTTATTTTTATTTCTTTTTCTTCATTTATCTCAAAAGCAAGACTGTAAAAATCATATAAATTCATGTAAAATTACATAATTACCTAAAAATTCACATTAATCAATTGAAAACCACTTTTCACACTTTAACACAAATATAAGTCTATTTATCATGAGTTAAGGCTAAAACTATATTATTTACTAATTATTAACTCATGATAATGAAGACTTATCACACCCCCTAAGTTAAATCATTGCTAGTCCCTTAGCAATGGAATTACGAAAATAAAAATTTAAAAATCTCAAACATCATATTTCAATACAGAAAGAAAAAAAATACAATTAGAAATGATGCACCTTTAGATACTTTGGATTCTTATATCAAGTATTTAAGAATGATGTCAAGCACTTAAATGTTTAAACACTCCTTGGAATAACAATCTAAACTTCACTTCTTCTATTCACATCTTTATCACTTCTTCACTCATAGATGTATTTACAAGATGTTCCAATTATCAATACTCATCCAAGAATAATATTGATCCTACATTTCCCTTTTTTTATGGCTTGATTTTTGAAGTTTGCACTATATTTCTTCTTTCTTTATATATAGCGGATAAGTAGCTTTTCCTGTAGATAAATTTCGACAATAAGAATGATGTCTCACACCCTCCATGTGTACTCTTCATTTTCAAGGCTTTCACTTTATCCACTTATTTTGCAGCAAGTGTTTTTCTATACACGATTTTCGACAATGAGAATGATCTCTCACATCCTCCATGTGTACTCTTCGTTTCTAGATTTTTCACATTGCTCTCTCTTTTTTTTTTCGAAATAAGTGATTTCTCCTCACAAGTCCTATAGATCAGGGTGCAAAAATCTCCATTAAACTCAAATGATCAATCAAATTTTCACATCAAGTAAATATTATCCATCAAGATCATGAAGTGAAAATCTGTAAAATCAAATCCATGTTATCTATCATGTATCCAAGGAGTATTCCAACATTTCATGCTACTAGATCATTCTTTTGACTCAATAATAATCTTCCTAGTATCTTTTGGTATTAATCAATCTAATTGATTTAATTTTTCATGCATGTAATATGATGTAAGAAATTTGTAAATTAGATAGTTCTGACAGTTCTGTTTTTTGTTTTCAGTTCTATTTTAGCAGCAATAAATTTGTCAAAAATAAATCAAAACTATCTTCTTTATAGCTGTAATTTCGAATTTCAATAATATATGTCTAGGGGATTGAAATGTGAGAAAAGGGTCTCTATAATTTCAAATTTTGGGTTGGTTTTTCGTCTGCTGTTTTTGATAGTCTGTTGTTCCTGACGGAAAACCAAAAAATAGATGTTACAGTTTTTCCAAATTTTATTTATTTATTTATTTTTTTAGTTGTTGTTCTAAGTTGAATAAAATGCAAACACATGTTCTTAATCATCCTACAGCATAAATTAATAATGAATACTTCACCCCCCAACTTAAAAATGACATTTGTCTTCAATGACACAGAAAAATCGAAACAGAATATGCAGAAAATATAATTTTCAAGTGAAGCATGCATATATGCAAAGTTTAGCATTAAAAATGTTGTCATAAATGATAAAGCTCCGAAAGACATCACCTCAACCTCGTTTTTAATTTTCTACTTCGTCTTACATGCCTCCTCCTGCACTTTTTCGAAAAAACAAATACAGAAATAAGTACTGCGAAATTCTAAGAAAAACAGAGCTTAAAAAAATCAAACAAAATGAAATAAAAACCATGGGTTGCCTCCCATGCAGCGCTGAATTTAATGTCTCCTGCTGGACTCCTTGATCTTACTCTTGAATTTCTTTTAATAATAAAATTTCTTTTTCTGCAAGGCGTTCATGTTCTATGTAATGTTTAAGCCGCTGTCCATTTACCTTAAAGTTATGATCACTTTTAGGATCTTTAATCATTACAGCCCCATGATCATATGTCTCTTCCACCACATAAGGCCCTTTCCATTTAGATTTTAATTTTCCTGGGAATAATTTCAGCCTAGAATCATATAACCACACATTTTGTCCAACATCTAATTTTTTTCTGCTAATGTATTTATCATGAAAAGTTTTAGTTTTTTCTTTATATATTCTATGATTTTCATAAGCTTCATTCCTCAACTCCTCTAGTTCATGTAGCTGAAAAATTCTATGCCCACCAGCTGATTTTTCATCCATACATAAATTTTTTATAGCCCATAATGCTTTATGCTCTATTTCCACAAGAAGATGACATGGCTTTCCAAAAATGAGACGAAATGAGGACATACCTATGAGATTTTTATAAGCTGTTCTATAAGCCCATAATGCATCTTGTAATTTCGTGGGCCAATCTTTCCTATCTGGTCTAACTATTTTTCTCAAAATTCTCTGAATTTCCCTATTTGCTACTTCAGCTTGCCCATTTGTTTGGGGATGATATGAAGTGGCTACTCTATGGTGTACTTCATTCTTTTTCAACAGTTCCCTGAAATGTTTATTTGTAAAATGTGTTCCTCCATCACTAATAATCACTCTAGGACATCCAAATCTCGAAAAAATATTTTTCTGTATAAATTTCATCACGATTTTATGATCATTAGTTCTAGTAGGAATAGCTTCCACCCACTTCGACACGTAATCAACAACAAGCAAAATATATTCATATTTTTCAGCTGATGGGAAGGGACCCATGAAATCTATTCCCCATACATCAAAAATTTCAACTACTAACATGTTACTCATGGGCATTTCATCTTTTTTACTCATGTTACCTATAGATTGGCATGAAATACATGTTCTACTAAATTCTATAGAATCTCTAATGATTGTAGGCCAATAAAAACCACACTGAAAATTTTTTGCAGCTGTTTTTCGTTCAGAGAAATGTCCTCCACAATTAGATGAATGGCACATGTTAATAATGCTATGGTATTCTTCTTCAGGAACACATCTCCTTAAAATTTGATCATTGCCCAAGTAATATAAATCAGGATCATGCCAAAAATAATTTCTAATCTTAGAAAAGAAATGATGCTTTCTATTCTTATCCCACTATTCTGGAGTTTTTCTAGAAACCAGAAAATTAACAATATGTGCATACCATGGTGATGGTTGATGTTGAGCTGCCATCAATTGTTCATCTGGAAATGCATCTTGTAAAGGTGCTGCATTTATTCCTGTATCACTTAATCTAGAAAGATGGTCAGCAACAGCATTCTCGAAACCTTTTTTATCTTTTATTTCTAAGTCAAATTCTTGCAATAATAAAATCCATCTTAATAAACGTGGCTTTGCATCTTTCTTATTTAATAGATATTTTAATGCTGCATGATCAGTATAAATAATAATTTTAGCTCCCAAAATATATGATCTAAACCTTTCTAACGAAAATACTACAGCTAACAACTCTTTTTCAGTCGCGGTATAATTTAATTGAGCATCGGATATAGTTTTACTAGTATATGAAATTACTATGGGTTTTGACTCTTTTGTTTGTCCTAGAACGGCCTCCACTACATAATTCGATGCATCACACATTATTTCAAAGGGAAGGGACCAATCAGGAGCTTGTAAAATGGGTGCCTCAATAAGTAATCTTTTTATTTCGGAAAAAGACTCAAAACATTTCTCATCAAAATTAAAAGGCACATCTTTAGATAATAGCATGGTGAGAGGTTTAGAAATTTTTGAAAAATCTTGAATAAATTTTCTGTAATAACCTGCATGACCAAAGAAAGATCTAATATGTTTTACTGAATTTGGAGGTTTCATTTTAGATATAATATCAATTTTTTCTCTATCCACCTCTAAACCCCTTTTACTCACAATATGACCCAACACAACTCCCTCTTTAAACATAAAATGTGATTTCTCCCAACTCAAAAATAATTTTTTCTCTATGCATTTCTCAAGTACATGCTGTAAATGATTTAAGCATTCATCAAATGATTCACCAAAAACAGAAAAATCGTCCATAAAAATTTCCATGCATTTTCCAATCATATCAGAAAAAATAGACAGCATACATCTTTGAAATGTGGCTGGAGCATTACACAGACCAAAAGGCATGCATTTAAAAGCAAAAGTACCAAATGGACAAGTGAAAGTTGTTTTTTCTTGATCTAAAGGGTTTATATAAATTTGATTATAACCAGAGTATCCATCTAGAAAACAAAAAAAGTTTTTTCCAACTAATTTTTCTAGAATTTGATCAGTAAATGGTAGGGGAAAATGATCTTTTCTAGTAACTGAATTTAATTTTCTATAATCAATGCAAACCCTCCAACCGGTAGTTAATCTTGTTTGTATTTCATCCCCATTTTCATTTTTTATAACCGTGATCCCTGATTTTTTTGGCACTACTTGTGTAGGACTAACCCATTTGCTATCTGAAATAGGATAAATAATATCAGCAGCCAGCCACTTTAAAATTTCTTTTTTTACAATTTCCATCATGTTAGGATTTAATCTTTGTTGTGGTTCCCTGCTAGTTCTGGCCCCCTCCTCTAGATATATACTATGCATGCATACACTCATATCAATGCCCCTTAGATCGTCCATTTTCCAGCCCATAGCCTTCTTATTTTTTCGAAGTACATCTAATAATTCTTCTTCATGTTCATCACTCAAATCAGCTGTAATAATAACAGGAAATGAATTATTTTCCTCCAAAAACATATATTTTAAACTAGAGGGAAGAGGTTTCAACTCTAAATTCAGATGATCTTCCTCTTTCTTTTCTTCCAAATTTATATTCTCTATTTCCTCTAATTCTTTCAGCACACAGTCATCAATAACATCTGGATCATCAAAATCATCTAGAAGATTTATGGTATGACAATCATATACTTGTGATTTCTTAAGATCATTTGGTACCTCAAAAATTTTAATTTCTACTAATTGATCTCCACATGAACTTTTCGCAATACCTATGGGAAAATCAATATTCATCTTTGCTGTATGCAAAAATGGTCTCCCTAGGATGATTGGCATATCATAAAACTGTCCATTAAAATCTATTTCCAGCACTACAAAATCAGCTGAAAATTTACACCCTTTAACTGTCACTATCACATTTTCTAAAATACCTTTAGGATGTTTTATGGATCTATCAGCAAATTGTAAGGTAACAGTAGATGGTTTAAGATCAGAAATATTAAATTTATCACAAATACTTGCAGGTAATAAATTAATACTAGCACCGGTGTCAAGTAATGCATTCTGAAAAATGAATCCACCAATATCACACGAAATTAAAGGGGCACTTGTATCTCTCAATTTATATGGTAATTGATTTAATAATAATGCACTAGCATGAATAGATAATTTTTCTACTCTAGGTGCCCTTTTTGGTGTACACATTTCTTTCAAAACTCTAGCATATTCAGGAATATGTTCAATGGTAGTGAGTAAAGGAAGACTAATTTGCACATCTTGTAAAATTTTCTTTATTTCTTCATTGTGTTCCTTTTTCTTTCTTTGTCTAGGCGCTAGAACTTTAGGAAATGGAATGGTCGTCCTCTCTTTCGAAATTTCCTGGGTAGAATCTATAAAATCCTCTTCTACTCCTATTTGATTTTGTTTTGGTTTGTCCACGTTTTCTTTTTCTTCTAATATTTGGGGATAAGGATCAGGTAAGATCTTACCACTCCTTAATGCATTCACTATCCTAACATTTTTATTTCGTGGGTTTTTTCCTAGATTCATGCTACTAGACTCCCCTTGCTAAAATCCTATTGTTGGGTGATTCCCTAGATTTTCTATGGGCTGACTAGGTAGCTGTCCCTCTTCTCTCTTATTCCCAAGAGCCTCTATAATTTGTTTCTGGTACAGCATCATTTGATTCATAGTTTGTTGCATCATTTGGCTCATTTGCTGCATCATTTCCATAGCATCAGGTTGGATTTGAGAGGGCTGATTTTTCTGAAATCTGTTTTCTTATTTTGGACAAAATTCAGAGTTTGAATTGGGTCTAAGTGCTTCTGGATTTTGAATATTATTTGGGTCTCTTCATGAAAAATTATTTCTCCAATTAGGATTATAAGAATTTGAAAAAGGTTCCCTGTTTCTATTAAAACCGTGAGCTACTTACACTTGTTCTTGCATAGGGTGAAATGATTGATCTAAATTATAACATTGAAATTCAGAATAATCATTTTCACCATACATAGGACATGTACTATTCGAATTAAGTTGAGGGTTAAAAGGCTTTCTAATATTGTCAATAAGTAAATCAATTTTTTCTAATCTTTGATTAATCTGATTAACCTCATTTCTAAGTTTAGAATCATCATCATGATGCAATTCGTAAATTCCTCTCTTCTTATCTCTGTCATATAATTCAAAAGAGGCTTGATCTCTAGAATTTTTACTTAAATTCTCATAAAGACTGTAAAATCTCATCAGGAGTTTTCTTCATAAAAGCTCTTCCACATATAGAATCAATCATATTTCTATGTTGTTCTAATAATCTATCATAAAAAATTCTATTGAGCTGCCACTTGGGTATAGCATAATGAGGACACTTTCTAAGTAAATCTTTGAATTTTTCCCATGTCTCATGCAAAGTTTCTCCTGGTCTTTAAGAAAAACTCCATATATGTTTTCTCATATTTTGAGTTTTTCCTAAGGGATAAAATTTTCGAAGAAAGGCCTATTCTATATCTTTCTAGTTAGTTAATTCTCTATCTAATGTGAATAGCCAATGTCTAGCTTTGTCCCTAAGTGTATGAAGGAATAATTTCATCTTAATAATTTCCGGTGTAACTTGAGGGAGATTAACTGAATCACAGACCATATGAAATTTTTCTAAGTGCTAATGAGGTTCCTCTAAAGGCAATCCATGAAAATTAGGGAGTATTTGAAAAATTCCTGGATTTATTTCAAATTTAATAGTGGGTGCTAATGGGACTCTAATATTTGATGCTCTTTGAAATGAATCAAGGATATAATGATTTTTCATGGCCATAGGATTGTTCTCAGTTTGACCTGTACTTCCTTCAGGATCCATCAAAATTAATTTTTCTTTCAGATTTTTATTTTTGAATGAAATAATGAAAGGATTTTCTAACCTTGGATGCAAGGATCTTCTACCATGCATAAAAATCAATAAATTCGAGGAAAAAATTTCGTAATTTTTACCCTCCTTCAGGATGCTCTAGTCCTTGCCTTGCTTCTTTTTGTTCCCTTTTTCTAAAAAAATCGGCAAAAAGAAAATAAAACAAGAGTTAAATTTTTTTTTGTGTACTCTAAGAGAAAAACAGAATAATACTAAATATTATGCAATACATTCCTTGGCAACGGCACCAAAATTTGACGTGACCTAGTCGTTGTATATTAAATCACGCAAATATAAAATTTATAAAACTCGAAAACACGAATTTTCAGATATTTAGAAGTATTTCTGAATAAATATATCAATTATAATTCAATAAAACTTTCAAAAATAGCGGTAATTTTCCAGGTCGATCACAGGGATGTAATATAATATATGGTAATTATTCAGAATTTTTCTCAATGAATACGATTTTCTATGAATTGTATACTAGGAAATGAAAAGGAAATATATTTAAAATTCACGAAAAAGAGAAATAAGGGTGCGGACGTCAGGATGATGTCAGCACCCAACGAAGGCGAATCGAGCGGAAATAAAGTTCCGCTCGGCGATTCTTACGTAAGCGATTACAGACAAATTAATTAATTAAATTAAGATCTATAAAAGCTAGAAGAATCGTAATAGAACAAAGTATATTTTGGTAAATTAAAATCACAAAAAATATCACTAAATGAAGTGTAAAGTAAGTTGACAGCAGGAAAATAGAGTTCCGGCGTCGCGACGGCAATGCGTCGGCGATGCACCGGAATTCTGAGTGTTCGGGAGGATTGTCGTGCAGTGTCCACGGCCTCGAAGGCTCTCCTTGGACAAGGACGACGTGGGCAATCTCTAGATCTTCTCGCAAAGTCTAGAGATTAATGAAATGGGTCGTCGAGTCGTCTCCGGCGGCTGTCACCCGGCAGAGCGGAAAAACGGCGACTTTGCAGCTCTCCGGCGGCTGTCACCCGACGGAAAAGAGCTGGATGGAGGTGGGGCGCGTGTCAGGGAACTTCATCCTCAGGTCCGCGCAGCAAGAGGAGGCTCTTTATCGCATCTGGTACGCTCTCAGGAGGTGGCGACTCGTCTCCCGGCGGATCGTCCTCTTCCTGATGACGGCTTGTTCGTCGATCAATCGGAGATGATTTACTTGATGGATTTGTAATCCTTTTATCGCGAATCGTTCAGAAATTTTAGTAACAATGCTTCGCGAATCGCGTTGATGAGATTTTCGCCGATGATCTAGCGATTCTCTTTGCTTAATCTTTCACCGGCGATCTGCAGGAAAGTTGCGATAATCAGATAAAAATATATGAATTTTGACTCTGGGAGGATTCGAACCCGCGCCGGTTGTCCGCCCCTTCTGAGGAAGGTGTGACGCGGGTTTAGTCCCACATCGGTTGCGCGCCGATTTTTCGGGCGAATATATAGTAATGTTAGCTTTCTAAGCAAAGTTCCTTCTCTCGTGTGTACGACCACTCCTTGCCCCACAGCCGGCTGGCCACCGGTGACATGGAAGGGGAGTGACGCACACGTGCCCCTATCGGTCCAAGCCGCTCGAGCCCCTACTCACGGCTGCTCGCGGCTACTCCCCGACTGAGCTTTCAACCCGCTTGTGGGCCCGGCTGGCCAGTGGGCGGGTCCCCTCCTCATTTTGTCTTATTTTTATTTCTTTTTCTTCATTTATTTGAAAAGCAAGATTGTAAAAATCATATAAATTCATGTAAAGTCACATAATTACCTAAAAATTCACATTAATCAATTGAAAACCACTTTTCACACTTTAACACAAATATAAGTCTATTTATCATGAGTTAAGGCTAAAACTATATTATTTACTAATTATTAACTCATGATAATGAAGACTTATCAATGGTGAACCTCCTTGAGCTCTGGCTGAGCATGTCTCTACCATGGCTGGGTCCTATGGGTGCCTAGATGCCAATGCAATCCTATATGAATGGTCTACTAATGGTATGGAAGCTCAGTGAGTATCCTCAGGGGATCGAGGTTAGGTGATAACTCAACTTGGCTCTGATACCAATTTGATGCAGGATGGGGCAAGAACCCTTGTACTTGATCAATGAAACTCAAGACCTAGGATAGGGCAGTCGGACCAATCCGATAAGAATGTGATGCAGAACGGGGCGAGAACCCTTGTACCTGATCAATGAAACTCAAGACTCAGGATGGAGTAGTGAAAAGGAGATCCGATAAGAATGTATGGACCCTAGACTCTAGGTCTGACCACGTAACCTAAGTACAGGCAGGCGTACTAATATGCACTATCAACTCAGGACAACCTGAGGAAACACTCGACAATGGTAAGTATGAGGCCCTCTCGGTCCACGTCTGGACAGACGGTAGAATGGTCGTCATGAAGTAGCCTAGGGCTGCAGCTCACGAGCGGTGACAAGTTTGGCGCAGCGTCGGAAGTCACAACCTGATAACCCGTCCCATCCTGTCTACGTTCTCCTGATGGCAGTGGAAACGAGCCGAGAAAACCCTTCGAAGGATAATTGAACTTAAGAGGAAGAGGTATAGAGCTAACCTTCGGGGCTGCATAGCCCGGCGGGTCGTGACGGAGCGGAGACTCGACGTAAGTAGAGACGTCCAGGGAAGAGCGATGCTCAGCGTCGACAGTCGGTCCTCGTCAAGAAGTCGCCGTAGTCGTCGTCATAAGGCATGGCACGGTCGGCGCAGGTGTGGGCGCACTGGTGGGCCGAAGGGAATGCTAGCGGGCGCGCGCAGCAAGCCGCGTGGCGTGCGTGGCGGCGGCGCTTCGGCAGGAAGGCCGAGCGTCAGCGGCACGTCAGCGGGAATGCCGAGCGTCAGCAGCTCTCGGCAAGAATGTCGAGCGTTAGCAGCGCTTCGGCGGGAATGCCGAGCGTCAGCGGCGCTTTGACGGGAATGCCGAGCGTTGGCAGTTGGGCGGAAACCCAACCGTTGCCGGAAGGATCGGTGACGTGACTCAGTCGTTGTATATTAAATCACGCAAATCTAAAATTTATAAAACTAGAAAATACGAATTTCCAGATATTTAGAAGTATTTATAAATAAATATATCAATTATAATTCAATAAAAGTTCCAAAAATAGCGGTAATTTCCCAGGTCGATCACAGGGATGTAATATAATATTTTGTAATTATTCAGAGTTTTTCTCAATGAATACGATTTTCTATGAATTTTATACTAGGAAATGAAAAGGAAATATATTTAAAATTCACGAAAAAAAAGAGGAAATAAGGGTGCGGACGACAAGATGACGTCAGCGCCCGGCGAACGCGAATCGGGCAGAAACAGAGTTCCGCCCGACGATTCTTACGTAAGCGATTACAGGCGATTTAATTAATCAAATTAAGATCTGTAAAAGCCGGAAGAATCGTAATTGAACGAAGTATAGTTTGGTAAATTAAAATCACACAAAGTATCACTAAATAAAGCGTAAATTAAATTGAAAGCAGGAAAACAGAGTTCTGGCGTCGCGACGGCGATGCGTCGGCGATGCACCGGAATCCTGAGCGTTCGGGAGGATCGTCGTGCAGTGTCCACGGCCTCGAAGGCTCTCCTTGGACAAAGACGACGTGGGCAATCTCTAGATCTTCTCGCGAAGTC